ACACACACACACACACACACACACACACACACACACTTCTTCCTGTTAATCAAACTTTTCATCACTTCCTGTCCTTTATGTTTCAAAAGAACATTAACCTCAAGTGGTTTTCTTAAAAAAAAATTCTAAATCCCATGATGAGATGTAACTTAGTGTATCTCAGCATTTACAAACTCTACTTAAATAATCTTGGTATCAAAATAAAGCTAACACTTGGGGAAATTAAGTGTCAGTATTGAAACAGCTGTTGTGGTTTTAGAGATATGGAGGATGGAACATAATTATTTTTACATTTTTTCCCCTCCACTTAGAATATTTTTTTATTAGACAGTATAAAACCCATTTAAAACCATAATGAATCAAACTAAAAACTCTTGAAAACCATAAATCCACTTGTGGACATCACCTGTGCAAAGATTCATGCTGCTAAAATGAACTGGAGCAAAGTTAGAGGTTTTAGTAAAGAAATAATTTAATGTTTTATCATTCTGCACAGGACAGACCATGTAGGTTCCATTAATAAATGTTAAGACATCTGAACTTTTAACATCTAAAAGTTATTTATTTTTTCTTACCTGCCTTAGAAGACTTTTTACAGAATGTTTGTTCTTTTGAAAAACTGTCCAAACATTTAGTTGTCACCATATATATTATATAAAATAGTGAGAAATGATATTTAACTTCAGTTGGACCATATTCACACACACTTTATTACATATTTAGGTATCTATTTTGACTTGCTTTTAAAACAAATGTCAAAAAWTTTCACTGACAGGTTTGTTGTAATATATTTACAGATTTGCAACAATCCCATTTTGTACAGTTTGTGTACTTTCTGATTCAACTGCTTGTCGTTTGAACTGCGTTTGGTGAATGTAAAAATAGTTTGCATGAGCTTTTAKCCAAGAYWCTTAGCTTTATATTGATGCCAAACATGTCCAGGTTCCACTGACAGATCTTAAGGTAAYAGAAGTTAAAAGAAATARAAAACGKGAAATGCTGTTTTGGCTCAAGAGGATAAAACATGTTAAAAATGGGACCGATAACACGGCCCTGAGGAACTCCAGAAGAACAAAATTTTAACAAAAACTGAGACGTGTTTGTTTTCTGTCCTCAGACCCGTCGTCTCCACTCGCCTTGGCCCTCGCCGCACGAGAACGAGCGCTCACGGCTCGAACGCCGAGCCCCGAACCTCGAACTAAACACACCTCTGCCTCCACCACGCCTGTTCCCACCCCGGCCGCCAGTCCAGAGTCCAGGCACAAGCGCACCCCTTACACCACCCCTCAGAGCAGCCCCGAGCCGCGGTCCAAGCGCACCTCGCCTCAGACCAGCCCGGAGCAGCGGACCAAACACACGACCCCTCAGACCAGCCCCGAGCTGAGACACAAACGCATCACGCCRCCGCTGTTCCCCGACGGGCAGGTGGAGCGGCCCGAGACTGAGGGCGGAGTCACGTCACCTGCTGCCCCCTCCCCCGAACGGTGGAGACCCTCCCCCCTGCCAGCGCTAGCCAACGAGACCCACCCTGCGCTGATCGACAGACGACGAAGCCTTACAGTGGGCAGCTCAGAGGAGGAGGGCGGGGCTTACACTGTGACCCTCCCACCTGCCCTGCTGTCGTCCAGCGATGAGGAAACCAGGGAGGAGCTTCGCAGGATCGGTCTGGTGACTCCTCCCCCTGCCTTCGCCAGCCCCCCTGCACTTCCTCCCCCGTCTTCTCTGGCCTTGATGCCGCGGCGAGGAGGGGAGGGGGGAGGAGAGAGCGGTCCTGAGTCTCTGGGACGACGTGGGGACGAGGAGGACGGAGGGGACGAGCGTCTCCACGACAGCTCCCTGTCCCCTAGTTCCCTCCCCCCC